TTACATTTTATTTATTGTGTGTGTGTGTTTGTGTGTGGCCAGCTCAGCCCACCAGGGGGCGGGGCTGACTGGCATGTGGTGCTGGGGGATCGAACCGAGGTCCCTGTGCTTTGCCAAGCTTGTTTCAAGTAGGTGCTTTAGACCACTGAGCCATCTCTCCAGCCCCAAGGCCTGCATTCTTAAAGAATGTGCCTGGCTAACTAGTCTGCTGAGCTATCTGGCCATCCCTGTATTTTCTATATTGTATAAGCTTGGATGTGACGTTTCCCTACAGTATGCTGACTTTAACTCCTTCAGGTGCATACCAAGTGGTATAGCTGGATCAGATTATAGATCTTAGTTTCAGGTTTTGAGGAACCTTCCTATTGGTTTCCATAGTGGCTATGCTAATTTACATTCCCACCAGCAGTATAAAGGGGCTCCTTTTCCTCCACATCCTCACTTTTATGTGCTTTTTTGTATTCTTTAAAAAAATTTTTTTTGTTACCAAGAATGGAACTCAAGACCTCATGCTTGCCAGGGAGGCACTGTGCCACTGAGCTATATCTCCCCGGCCCACTTTGTTTTTTATTTTTCTTGACAGGGTCTCCCTTTTAGTTCAGGCTGGCCTTGAACTCACTATGTAGCCCAAGTTGTCCTCCAATTTGAAGTAATCCTCTTGTCTCAGTCTCCTCAGTGCTGGGATTATAGGTGCAATCACCATCACACCCAGCTTGCTTTTTATGTTCTTGATGATAACCATTCTTTCCAATTTCAGTATATATGTATGCTGCCTATATGAGTATGACTGTAGCCATTTGGACTGGGATAAGATGGAATCTTTGTGGTTTTGTTTTGCTGTTCCCTAATTACCTCTGATACCTGGTGGTTTGATCTAATTTACTCATATTTCCTTTCCAATGTGTCACCACTTAAAATGTTTTATTTGGAGAGTAGAGGTTTGCATTTATTTTATTTTTTAAATTTTATATTAGTCCAGGGACCAAACTCAGGCTCTTGTACTTGTGAGGTGGGTACTGTGCCACTGAACTGTTTCCCAGGCCACATTTATTTTTATTTTTTATTATTTTTTTGAGGCAGGTATTACTAAGCAATTTAGGCTGAACTAAGCTCATTCTATGGCCTCAAAGTCGCAACAACTTCTGCCTAATCATTGCTGAGATTAAAAGGCATGTACCACCATGCCCTATTAGGAGTTTGCTTTTAAAACTAGCTTGAGTAAAGCCAAATGTGGTGGTGCACACTGTAATCCCAGTACTGGTAGGGAGGAGTCCTACAAGTTTGAGGCTATGGGGCCAGGGAGATGGCTCAGTAGAGTGCAAGGGCCTGAGTATAATCCCCGGTTCTGCAAAAAAAAAAAAAAAAGTTTGAGGCTGGCTTGAGCTACAGTAGGTGAGTAATGCATCTTTTAAAAATTAGATTAAGTAGATTTATTTTGTCTAATCTGTTAATTGTTTACTTTTTGTGTGTGACAGGCTCTCTCTGTGCAGCTCAGGTTGTTCTTGAACTCACTGTTGTAGCCCAGGCTGGCCTCATACTCGAAGTGATCCTCCTACCTTAGCCTCCCAAATGCTGGGATTTATTATTTTTCTGTCTTTAAGAATGCAGGCTTTAAAATAGAAACAAAGCTTTTTTAAATAAGGTGAAAGGGGGTTGAGAGATGAAAGGATATTAGGGAAAAAAGAAGAATAAAGATCAGGTAGAGGTACAAATTTCCTATGATGAATGTTTGATTTTTGTATATCTAAACTGTACCAGTAAAGTTGATTTAAAAAAGTACAGTGCTTGCCTGGCAAGTGCAAGGGCCTGAGTTCAATCTCTGATTCCACGAAAAAAAAAAAAAAAAAAGAAAATTCTAAATAGAACGATTCTGTTTAGTGTGTTTTCCTTTCTTTGTGAAATTATACTGGGTCTTACTAAACTATCTATCTATGTGTTATATATAATGTTGTGATATAGAAACTTTTCCTGATTTTGAAAGACTCTTAAGTACAAAACTGATTTCTGTTCCCATCTGTTAGATAGAATTGGTGCTGTTTTTCTCCAAGTTTTATATTTTCTTTGAAATTTTATAATTTGTAGGACTCAGATAAACATCTGTGTTCTTTAATATGTATTCTGAAGAGAGCTCTGCTTGCTAATAAAGTTTCAAAATACATTTCCCGTGTCAGTAATGCCTGTTTCTTCGTACCCAGAGAATGGATCTTGGAGAGTGTCTGAAAGTTCACGACCTGGCATTGAGAGCCGATTACGAAATCGCATCCAAGGAGCAGGATTTTTTCTTTGAACTTGACGTATGTATTTTTGCTTTAATGAATGATATTATCTTTTTGCTATAAAATATTTTTAGTATGTGTTAATATCTGTCTTATTTCTAGTTACTGGGACAAAGTACTCAACATCCAGTGTTAAAGGAGGAAAGGTTTATTTACCTCACAGTTTGTGGAGGTTTCAGTCTGTAATAAGCTGCCTCCAAAGCAGGGTGGCAGACGGGAGAAACGGTGCATGCTGTGGCAGGCAGAAGGCAGCAAAAACCAAGGACCTTAGCAGTGTCTTTTTTTCCCCTTTTATCTTATCCAGGGTACTTAGATCACATAGCACTCACACCCTTGATCCTAGTGTTTTACAGTGAATCAGTCCCTGCATCACAAACTTTAGATCTAGCCACCTCTGATAAAACCCTATCTATGTACAAATGATTAACATTTTCTTTCTTCTATGCTTCTTCAAGCTACATAATTGGGATTTTGTGACATAACATTTTGTACCTTTTATTTGTGGATGAATGCTGCATATTGCCTTAAATATACATTAGAAGTGTTAACTGGTTCTAGCAGTTTAAACAGAGTTGGCGAGATAACTCAGCAGACTGAAGCACCTGCTTAGGCAAGTTCAGGGACTGCAGTTGGGTCCCCAGCACCACATGGTGCACCATCCCTGCCTTCAGGGTGGGCTGAGCCAGTCACAGAGTCCTGGCATAGTGGTGTATGCCTGTTATCCCAGCGCTGGGGAGACCGAAAGCAGAATTACCATGAGTCTGAGCTGGGTAGTGAGACCCTGCAACAACCAAATGCATTTTAAAAAAAAATAACAAATATAACTACAGTTTAAACATTGAATAGCAGTAACATCTCTGAGTATTATCCTTGTCCTCTTTTTTTTGTTTTTTCCTTTCTTTTGTTCTCCTGAATCTTGTTTTATTCATTTGGTTTTTGACTGTTTGATTTTGCATACTGGGAATTGAATCTGGTGTCCTGTAAGTGCTTTACCTCTGAGCTCTATTACATCCTCAGCTTTCTTAATTTCTGGAAGTAAAATGGTACTGTGTCAGAAATTTTATTTTATTTTATTTTTTTTATTTTTATTTTTATAATTTTTTTTTTTAACATTTGTTTATTTATTGTGTGTGTGTGGCCAGCTCAG